GCTAACAGCCTAAGATGAAGGAACAATAAGAGTGTAGAGTTATCGTGGTGCTACACAGCTGCAAGTTCTAGAAGTTCTAAAAGGCCAGTATAATTATAACTTGACCTTAATGCTCAGGCCAGTAGTTCAGGTTTATTAGAGGCGGTGACCAGACACCGCTGACTGATGTGCTACTGAGGGAGTGTGTTTTTTCAAAGCCTTCCAGGGCTGCTTTACATAGTACCGGCTGTAGACCCAAATATGGACCTTGTCAGTCAGTATTTAAACAACGGCTAAACAAATGACTCTTGATAGCTCAAACAGCGGCCACCGAAGAGGAATGATTAGTGAATATGGCTGTGCGAGCACATCAGTGCAATAAAACAATTACGTTGAATGCAATATGTCATTATAGATAAATTATTTAAATAAATAAAAGTGCGTAATGTTTTGTTCACGAGAGCGTCAGCTTCAATATATATTCATCTTGTTGAGCTTTGCGGACACAAAAACAAAACGGACACCAGCTGTATCTTTCTAAAACGATTCAGTAATGTATTTGTCTTAGATTGTAATCCTAAAGAAAAGGACTGGGTGAAATGAAACTGTTGTGCTGTGATTTCCAGTAATAAACTCATTCTGGTGCACTTCTCTATGATTTTTTTCCTGTATGTTCTTGCAGAGTTCATTCTGAAGTTACCCAGAGCTTTTTGTCTGTATGTACCATGAAGAATGTCATGTCTGTAACAGGTGACGCATTCAGGTATTCAGTATGACAAAAGAAGATAAACGTCCCTCTCACACGTGGAGCCTGTAAACACTGCCACGTTCAGTTATGTAGTGACAGTATTCAACAGAGGTCACACATGAACTGGATATTCATCTTGCAGGAGGAGGTAATATAGTATACGGCTTATATTTACTTCTTGTTTTGAGGAACTTGCAAGTGGATTACGTCCCTCTGGTCGGATCACACACCAGATTGGACATCACTGTTCAGTACAACGGGGAAAAAGCAACAAGAAACCCCACATGTATAAGACTGGGTTTCTTTTCTTTCATTCTGAACAGACACTAGAACAATCTGCAGTTTGTTCCAACTAGTGTTGTACTGCCCCCCCCCAAAAAAACTGCCTTGGTGTAACATTTATAGAACTGTGAGGTGGTTTCAAAATCAAATGAATCATATGAAATGTCTTTGCTTAAAGAATTAAAATCAAACCACACTGTGATTTAACCACCTTAACCTCACACTTCTCAGGAGGAAGGTATCTATCATTTCCTCTTTTCCACATCTAACACACACACACATAACAACCATGCCTTATTACACACATTTTGGCACTGCTGGTACACTGCCAAGCTGCTCTTCTACTTATGCATATTTGTGCCACAGAGGTTAGCTAAGGCCCAGCAGACCTCCAAGCAGAGACAGTGTGAATCAGCAAAGAAAACAATGCACTTCCACATGCATTCTCCAAATCTGAAAACTATATATTGGGACAGTGCCAAAATTAAAAGGTGCTGGCTCTATATCAGTTTAACACAGTGCCTCATGCTGAACTAATACTCTCCCTTCCCCCACATTTTCACATGGTAGAGTCCAGAGAGAGGATGTAAGGGGGACATGGTATCAGAGTAGGTTTATTCCACCACAGACATACAACCGTATTTAATGTGACACAGCTTTATCAGACCTTATAAGTATAATTATATACTGTGGACTGGCCTCCCTGGCTGCGCAGGTATCTAGCGTACTGCAAAGGACGACAACAACAACAACAACAACAAACAATGGCAATAACTGAGTGCATGGCTGGGCCTAATGTGAAAGAACACCCTGACGAACCAATGTTCCCAGCTAAACCGACAACAAGACATCCAGCAGCCACATGTTGAAGACACACACCAAGCAAAGGCAGCGTAGCGGCAGTAACATGGATGGTTGCTATGTGTGCACCAAGCACCGTGCAGTTAGTTAAGTGGTTGTCCCTGGCTTCTGGTTTAATGAATCATCTTTGCTTCAAACACTGAACGCATTCGTCGTGATATCTTTTTTTTTTCTCTCCTGCGAATGGTGATTAGCCTAGCCACTGCTGCTAGTTAGCTACCAAACGTTAGCCAGGGTATTTTCTTCCCACCCCCGCCATCTTGGGGCCAAGTCAAGCAGCCATTATTTATGCAACCCTTAAAACTACCACAATGCAGTTGTTTTTCTCTCGATAATGTCAGCTAAGTGGTGTCGGAATAGTTATGTGTGCGAGGGAAGCGGGGAGAAAACCGCTGGACAGTTAGCCGCTACATGCTAACAGAGCGAGCTGACGCACAACCCAAACTCTCGCTGCCGTTACCGGAGCTGGGAAGGATGGTTGAGTGGGATACAAATGTTTCTGTCTACTTAAAGGTCCCTCCTTTCGATAAAATGCATTGATCATCTTCGGGAGCTTGTTGTTGTACTTTAGCAAGTGATATATAGCAGCTAGCAAGGTGTTACATTAGTTAATCCCATAGTTTACAACGGGTGCTACACTGTACAGCAAATGAAACAAGCAAAGTAACAGCAGTTGTAACATTAATGTGTTTTCCTCACACATGCAAGCCTCTCCTTACGGGCCATAATGTTGATAGCGATATATATGCAATGACAAACGCCACCAATGCTATCACGTAGCATGGTACCTATTCTCTCAACAACCGATGACACCACCGATTTTAGCAGGGCGGAGATTCATATCATCCTGCAATTTTACTCTGGTACAACGTCGTGTCTGCTACTTTAGGCCTGTTTGATACTGGTACACATTACATAAATGTACTGGGGGTTGTTTTATTCTGTGAGTCGGTGCAAACGTTGCTTTGCTATTTGCAATAATCACGTCCATAACTGAAAGCTGCTTTTACAGTCAGTCGCTGGTTCAGCCTCAAAGTTGGGCAAAATTGAGGCTTGTGTATGTCGCGGCTAGTCATTCAGCAAGAGTGGCGTTGGGAGGTATGTACCACTTATTTCAGGTGGGATATGCACTAATCAGAGGAGATAACGGAGAGAGGCTACTGTTTTCATACTCAGTGGCATACCTTTAACAGCAAGGCCTTCGTTCTGGCGCCATCTTCTTGAAGCCTATGAAATCCAAACAGTGAACTGCAAGTAGAGGACAGACAACACACAGGCGGTTCCGTATTACTTGGGGGCATTCATATTTGTTGTTTCAAACTGCGCGAAGAAAAACAGAAATTGCAGAAAAGGAGCGGGTGAGACTGTTCACACAACAGATCGTCTAACCTGTCAATTCCGACCAAGCTCTCTTTCTCTTGCGCTGTTAGCTTCGGAAAGTCCTCTTCGATTTCAGTCGCTTTTCCCGACGCCATTTTCTCCTCGTCATTACCAGCAACGCCGAGACTCCGGGCAGCAGCAGAGGCAGCGGCGGTGAGCGACACTCCGCACGATTTCATGGAAAAGAGACGGGAAGATCAACGGGACCGAGCAACTCCGGCAAAATGCAATAACAACGAAAGTGTTGCACACCTATCCAGGACTAAAACGGGGCGTAGCGTAATTCTTGCCAAATCCTCAAGGAAATGATCCCTTCAAATTACCTTCTACACTCCTCATTGTACATCAAAACACAGCGTGTATTCCAGTGCCAATATATGCATGAAGTTGATGTAATGTTGGGATTTAGGAGTGAGTGTTATTTGATAATATCGCAAACTTCCCCAACCATCGGCTCAAAGTTGTTGTAATTGTGTCACAGAGGCAAACGCACGCCGCCACCGTCGACACGCCCTCCGGTCACCCCGACCAATCAGCGGCCGGTGTCTGCGGCCACATGACTGTCTCCAATGGGCTTCCAAGGCCCGCCCCAGAGTCCCGTGATTGGTTCCTCACGCTATATTATGATTACGTAACTATATTTCTAGGCAGCCTATTGGTCAAAATAGCTGTCATGTTTGTCTATGGGGGGGCGGCTGTCAGGGATGCTTGTTGCAACGTTGCACAAATACAGTACTTTAGATAGATAGATAGATAGATAGATAGATAGATAGATAGATAGATAGATAGATAGATGATAAATAGATTACATTTTATCTATGGATCAAGAATGATTTTCAAACAGAGGACACAAAGTCACTTTCAATAAGCATACCTGTTGGTGATGTTACCTGAAGCTGCCTCCACCTCACTGATAGAAGTGCCTTCATGGTTTTAGGCATATTTTTAAGTCACTTTTGGTAAACATTTCCTCCCTGAGAAATTTAAATTCATCCATAAATTCATTTCATTTGTCTACGAACATTGCCTGGTTAAACACCTAATCAACCTTTGGCTGTCCACCATTGTGGCTGAGCTGCTTTCAATGCATTTTTGCACTATATGAGTTTAAGGCAGATCACCTAACACTGGATGAAGCAGCCACACAGACTCTGTGTGGTCACAATATTTTTGTTTTTCAATTAAATTACATTTGTTTGTTAGTAGTAGCAGATGTGCAGAATTACTTCTTATTTATGTATAGCATATTCATAGTATATTAGTATTTTAGTATATAGTAATAGTAATAACTATGCTTACACTGTATACTGTATGCATATATGTATGTATAAAGTAACTTTATATTAGTGCTGCACTCTTGCATTCCCATACACCATTACTTACTTATTCTTTTCAATTACTTGCTTGTACTAAGAAAAAAAATGTCAACTCTTTTCATCAGCCAGGTATTCCAAATATATAGACATTGACCTGACATTTAAGTATATACTTATAGGCTAATATATGGAATGTAAGTATTATCACAAAATTGTTAAGTTATATGTCTATGTTTGTTCTTCTTGAACATTGTTCTTGAAACTCTATGTAAATACACTGAAAGCCACTGGAAATTATTATTACTTTCATTATTATTATTATTTATTTATTTTATTCAATTATTTTAAATAAAGATATTATTTCATAGTTATACCTGCCCGTGTTTCGCTCTCTCTTTTACTTTAACCGTTAAAATTATGCAAATGACGCCGGACGTGCAGGCAGCTGAGGACAGACCGACGTACTCCAAAATGGCGAACAGCAGAAAGGGTAAGAAGGCCTATAAACTATTTGCATCTCTGTCTGAACCAGGACACGGGGTATTCTCTTAGCATGGATTGCACACAGGACGTGTTTGTTAACTTTTGCCTGACATATGTGTGTCCGCAAAGCTCCGTCTCTGCTCCCGCTGAAAGCCCGTTGTCTACAGACGTAGCGTTTGTTGCTAACTTTTCAACTGTCCCTTAGCTGCACTTGTCTGCTCATGCTAACTTATTATCGGGCCTCAGAACTTTAATAAGTTCCGATTACAGACAACAGTAAAGTTATCGTTAGCTACCGCTGCCATGTTGAAACCCCTGTAATGTGAACATTTGGACTTATTCGCTATATTACTAAGTTACACCTTTATGTCCGAGATGTTGTCTTAAGTTAAACAGTTGTCGTACTATGGCAGATAAACCTAATATGGTCGTATTGCCTTTTATAGGCAGCGTCTACTGCAGGGCATCAGTTCACTGCTATTGAATGCTAACTGTTTTTATGTTTCTGTGTATGTAAAGACGTAGAAGAGGAGATTTACGACAAGGTCGTGGACCTGACAGAATATGCCAAACGTCAGCGATGGTGGAACCGTCTTTTCGGAACCAACTCCGGGCCAGTAGCAGAGAAATACTCCGTGGCCACACAGATAGCCATAGGAGGAGCGAGCGGATGGTAAATATCCTGCCTTGAAATGCATCATGCTGCCTTCAAGTGCCCCTCGTTAACTCCCCCACTTAGCTCCCTGTTAATAAATATCATATACATAACATTTTAGCCTTTTAAATTACTCAGAAACAGTCCAGGGCTAATTAGGTGTGTCACACATGACCCCTGTGACCTTGAATTGTATTCTGGTTTGTCTCTCTGTCATCTTGTCTCATGTCTCTCTTCTACACTCAGCATGTTAGTGATTCTTTAAGGAAACTTATACAAAACCCCTTTTTCCACCAGTTAGGAAAATAAATCCCATGGTCTCTCCCCTTATATTTTATAATTGTGCAGTTGGTTATGATACCAAATAATGTCTTAGTTAGACTTTCAGTGTTGGACCATTAGCTGCCATTCAAACCTTATAGTGGTAATTTTAAAGGCAGTTGAAGTCATAATTTATGTCAGATCAACCTTCATGCTCTGTCTATTCATTTCAGGTGTGCAGGATATCTCTTCCAGAAGGTTGGGAAAGTTGCTGCTACAGCCGTAGGGGGCGGTCTTCTGCTGTTGCAGGTATTCTTGCACATACGGGTTAACCCTTCCAAAAGAATTTAAAAAAAAAACTTCTGCCTCTCATCTATTTTTCATTTGCCCGACTCTTTCTACAGATAGCTAACAATAGTGGCTACATCCAAGTGGACTGGAAGAGAGTAGAGAAGGATGTCAACAAAGCGAAGAAGCAGTTAAAGAAGAGCACCAATCAAGCAGGCCCAGAGCTAAACACATTTGTTGAGAAGGTGAGACCTCAGAATATTATATGTTGCTTTATTTTTTGACCTTTGTGTGTTGGGCAATCAAAAGTTATATGCTCATGCACAACTGATTGAAATATTATAAAACTTAAAAGTGCAGCTCACTAGACTGTAAAATGTCTTCAGACTAATTATGAGTAATAGAATTATTTGCAATGACCAATTGAAAGATGGTGGGCTTGCAGCCACACAGTACTCATTTCCCATTCATCTTGATGTCTTATTTCTTTAAACAATCGGTACCAACATGCCATGGCAGCATGTACAGTCGCCATGAAAGCACACTGTTTATTTTTCCCTGCTCTTGAAAAGTTGAGAATTAGGAAAAATTGCATTTGATTGTTAGTTATCGATGTGACATGGAACTCAAACTCATTTTCTGTTTTGTTTTTTTCAGTCCACAGAGTTTGTGAAGAAAAACATTGTTGTCACAAGTGGTTTCATTGGAGGATTCCTGCTTGGCCTGGCGTCTTAGGGCAGAAGCGTCTCTTTTTCTTCGATGTCATGATGAGCTGTAGGTAAAAAGTGTAAATCATTGCTGAATGGTTTTAAGTGTTTTGACAGCAAGAAACCTATTTCAGATTAGCTTGTGGCTATGTGTCTTTACATAAGCTGCACATCTACTACTTCAATACTGTACCTCCATGTGACAAGTAAATACGATTGTGGGACATCTGGTTAGACCTGAATGGCCTTCGTAAACCACTCCACTTTCCAGGCCAAATAATGACGCATATGATGCAAAATTAATTAAGTTTATCAGAATGTTGTAATTTTTATGTATTTATTTTTACCACACCGACATTGTACTAGAGGGAAAAATTATGCACTGTTGTGCACAATGGAGCCAAACACAGTGCAGCCAAGTGCAAGTAGATACAAATTCACCTTCACACGGCAGATGGTGCCCATAGGAATCTATCAATACCAGTGTTGTGTTTTCAACTCCAGACTTCATAATCAATCATGTTCAGGATTAAAACTGGAATTTCATTCTGAAGTGCTGATGGATATGAGATTGTTATGCCTTTTTAGAGGTGCTCCATGTTTGATGGGTTATGTTAGCCTCCCCTGCATCTCTGTTTTTTTTAATGTATTTTGTTTAGCCATAAACGTATGCATGAGGTTCTGAAGGCTGTGGTTTGTGTACTATATATGTTTGAAGAACAAATAAAAAAAATTTAAAAATCAGTTGAATTATTTCACATTTATTTTACTTTACTTTTTATTTTTAGTTTTTTTTTACTTAGGACCTAGAGTCTTGGATGCCTTTAGACTCAATGCATGTCATGTGTTGATTAACTGAGTTTTGTTTTACTTTAATTTAAAGTGTGTCTGTGCCCATAATTAAAGAAATCAAAGTATACATGCTTCTGTAGTTTACAGATATGGTAGAAATACAAAAAAGGGCATTAATTGTATACACTTACAACATGTGACTGACGACATGATAGATTTTGAATTTACATTTTGAAATGCCCAAAAACATTTTTTAGTTTAGTTAATTTATTTGATAGGAACAATGTAATTTTACAGTTTCAAAACACGTCATGAAATTAACGTGTTGCATAAAGAGAGGCAAAGTTATATTTGTTAAAAAAAAGATTAAAGTTTTATAATGGCGTACATACTTCAACTTCCGTTGGCAGCGTTGCTAAGAGACGACTTCAAATAAAACGATTCCATGGCAACCGATAACAAACGGTTGAAGTTTTACAGCAGCCGAGTTGTACAAAGAAAACAATCGACCGGTTTTTAATACCGTCATGGCTTTACCGTTTCTACCCGGAAATTCTTTCAATAAACACGTAAGTTTTATACATTTGCTTTATTTCACACAAATGTTTTGACTCCAGCTTCGGTTAGCTTGAGCACTGCATAGAAGTTAAAGCTAATGTCAGCTAAGCTAACATCACAGAGCTAGATGAATGTGTATTTAGCATAAAGAGCTGTCTTAATTTACACGGAGAGACAGCAGGTACAAATTTAAGTGACCGAGATATGCCTTTGATAAAGATAAGATTTATCTAAATAACCACCTTGTGTTGACATTACGGGCACATGACAGTAGTTAAACCATAAAACAACTTGTATCAGTGGTTTGGCTGTAGGGGAGATTAGCCTTCCCAGACTCCTAAAGGTTTTACTGAAAGTAAAATCCAAAATGTATTGTCCAGGTCCGGTATTATGTAATTCCACTTTATTAACAACCAGCAGCAGTAAGTTGTATTTTAAATTTCAATTTATTTATTTGCACATAAAAAAAAATACAATTATTAAATATACTATATGTTCACAAAGACTCACAATATGCAACTTTAGTTATCCAGATGATTCTGCATTCCCATTTACAACAACAATCAAAAAGCTACCAGTGATTGTTTTAAGATGCTTCTTAAAAGTAAACAAAGATGATGAATGATGAACAATATGTACGTTTAAATGAAAATGTATCCACATTACATTACAGCTTGTTTTGATGTTATCACTTTGGAGAAGCGTGTAGCAGTATCCTCATAGATCTGCTACTTATAAATAAATTATTAGTTAATGTTATGATTGTATACATATTACAGTATGATTTTAGAGATGCTTTTTCCCTCCTGTACCACAGCTGGGGAAGGAGAGATTCCACAAGTCCCAACATTTTGACTATTCCAATGGAGTCCCAATGCTGGTGGGATCGGAGAAGCCAGGCATCGGAGGAGAGCTTTTGGTCGGCCAGAAGATTAAAGCAAAATATTCTGTCTACCCCAAAGGACAAGGCAGTGATTCACCATCATGGGTAGCCTTTGACAAACAGGTGAAGTGTCTTGAAATGGATCAATTTAATCTCACTGGGCATGTACACACATTTTTACTGGTCATTTAAACAACACAACACATAAACACATTTATATTTTACATGCAGTTACAGCTAATGTACAGTGTTGTTTCTTATGTCACTTAGTACAATATAACATGTTCACTTGGATTATGTTACGAATTAGGCTGTATTTAAAGCATTTTACCAACCCCGCCCTGGCACTAGCATTTGCATATTATAACCCTAACCCAATATATTGATTAGTCTCGTTCACAAAATGCCTCCTTGTTCCTCCAGGCTTTGTGTTTTGAGGCATACTTTCAGGAAGCTGTGCCTGAGGCACGGGATGAGACGTACAGAATCAGAAAGTGTAACATCTTCTTCTTCCTGGAAGATGATACCATACAGGTGGTGGAGCCAGAGTACAAGAACAGTGGCATCCCTCAAGGTGAGACGGGATGATTTATCTGTTGGAGATATCTCAGGAAATGTCTTGTGAAAGTAAAGATGTTTTATTCTTCATGTTTTTTTCTGCATTCAAGCAGTTTAATACCTGCCACTTACCACTGTTGTGTTGTTGTTCTCTGTGGCAGGAACACTGATTCGCCGCCACCGCATCCCACTGCCTCCACCAGATGATGACCAGTTCTACAACATTTCCCATTTCAACATCAACCAACAGATGGTGCTGTACTCCCGCACGTTCACTGTGACCAGCTGTGACTCTTTTACAAGGAACTTTCTCACAAAGCTCGGGGTGCACCTAAATGACCCCACAACTGTACCCGATGACCCCTACAGCAACCTCCGGGAGCAGGTAGCCAGATTTTTTATTTTCTATAGACATTCTCAGAAAAATAACATGGCAGAATTAAGTATTACATCTAACACAATAGTAAAGACAAAGCCATTATAGATGATGATATAATCACATCATATGTGGAAAAAGGAGTTTCACTTTTTTCCCATCAGGGAGACAACTAACAAATATTTTTCATCTAAGTCTTTCAGGCTCTTTTTAAATCTTATTGTTTGATCAACTGATATTTCTTTGATTGACAATTCATATTTATATTTATGTTATATTTATAATTTATGTTCAATATGAAAGAGTTGTTGATCCTCATCTTGGAGGCATGTTTTGTACTTTTTATTTTTTGTTTCAAGTAATCATTTAACCAACTAATCCCTGTTGATGCTTAATTAAAAATCACTACCCTTGAAGAAAATAATGGCCAAAATAAAAATTGAAAGCCTCTTATGTATGTGTAATAATATTTATTGATTCTTCTTTTTTCACATGGTTCCTCGTCCAGGCTGAGAAAAATATGAAGCCACTGCGGCCGTACGAGAGGCGTGACACGCTGAAACAGTTCCTGGACCACGACCGCAAAGTCCTGCGCTTCTACTGCTTCTGGGACGCCACAGAGAGCACATTCGGCGACCCTCGGGAGCTCATACTGCACTACTACCTGGCCGATGACACCATCGAGATCCGAGAAGTGATCACCCCAAACTCTGGGAGGGACAGCATCCCCAAATTCTTGCGCCGCAGCAAACTGCCTAAGGTGAGTCGCCACAATAGGAGCTGTTCAAAAAGTTTGCCATAATGTCTTGGCTGTGGGAGAGGAAAGAGGGGGACTGATGAATATTTGTTGTCAAGGAGAGGAAGGAATAAAACACAGATACTAAAGGTACGGAAATGCCTGAATGCTTTCTGAAAAGTCCGAAAATTTAGATAAATTCTCCAGGGTTTATGGAGAACATGAATTTTACATTTGTAGATGGTTATTCCAAACCTCGCAGTGCCTCTCTCTTTCTGGTTGGCTGACTTCTTTTTATCTCTCTCCCACCATCCTTCCCTTCACCGAGCCCTCATTCAGTCTGACAGGACCGCTGTAGCATCCAGCCTCCCTCAAGCATTTTGGCTTTCTCCTCCAGTTACTGACTGAAGCCTAATTCATCTTGAAAGACAGCCAGGCCTCAATCATGTGTGTGTGTGTGTGTGTGTGTGTGTGTGTGGGGGGGGGGGGGGGGGGTATGTGTGTGTGTTTTCAGTCCAGTAATTTGGTTTGTTCTGATGCCTTTTATTAAATGTCAGCCCTAAAGGTTGACCAGGATCCACCGTCCAATGAGAAATCACCACGTCCTTAATGACAGATCACGTCTTTACTCTGTCTCTTTATTGTTAGTCTCTCTCTCTCTCTCTCTCTCTCTCTCTCTCTCTCTCTCTCTCTCTCTCTCTCTCTCTCTCTCTCTCTCTCTCTCTCCTCTCTGTCTCTCTGTCAATCTAGTTCAATTAAATTATGTTCAATTCAATATTCTTAATTGGCATGAATGTCATGTCATCGAGCTCAGTGAAGTTTGGGATTAACTGTGATATTATATTTGTCACATGTTCAGAGGAAGTTGGTCTCTGTCTCTACCTCACCTGGCGTGAGCACAGACTCCCTCCTCTGTTGGTAGCCAGGACTTCCTGTGTCGTCCTCTGTCTATGGTCGGACTGTGGTCACTGAGTCTGTATGTGGTCAGGATCTGTCTCTGCTTTGTGTCTGACAGACATCCGCTGTCAGTTTATATTTGGGGCCAGAAAGCAGTTCAGTTTGTTTTGAGTTTTGGTTTGAGTCATCCAGTGTTCCATCTTTTGTTAATTCAATCATCTGGTTTTCTCTGATTAGCGGTTCTGATCCGAGGTGGAGCAGTACTGGGTGTTGTTCACCCGCTGACAGAAGGGTGTCTTTGGGGGGCTCAGTTTCTGGGCTTGTAGAACCTGAAATCTCAGTATGTCCCTGGGGCTGGATTTTAGATGTAACCACAATTTTAAGTTTTCTGTTTGAGGTGAACAAACACACAAAATGCTTTATCAGTAGAGCTGGCGATTGTAGGGTTTATGCAGTGCAGAGGATTTCCCTGCGGCTGGGTGAAAAAACAGGGTGAGCAGGGGAGTAGACGAGACTGGCAGCGGGGGAAAACAGGAGGCACAAGGAGAACACTGGGTAAGAATAATTCAACCAGCAGGAATGGCGAGCAGAACCGGTCCTTAAAAAAACTGCATCTGGTTGTGGAGTTGATTACCTGAGCAGGTGAGTATTGAGACTGGAGAGAGCAGGATCAGGGAAGCCACGCCCAGCTGAACACACACACACACACACACACACACTGACAGACATGCAGAGTGGTGCTCAGCTGTGTGAAGATCGTGTATTGATGCTTCTTTACCTGCCTGTGCCGTGCCTGCTCATTTCTCTGCAGCACCCTGCGGACCAGATCAAGCAGCCCGGACAGACCGCAGAGCGCACTGTGCTCAACGTGTTTGCCTCCCCGAATCAAGGGAAATGCTACATACTGGACAGCATCAAAGTACGTCCTGTCTCCCCGCCACAAACACACCGACATGACAACAAGTGAAATGAAGAATTTTATGTTATTTGAGTTGGTCACAAAGAGAGGGAGGACTGCTGTGTAACCCAGAGGTTGCAGCGCTGACAGGAAGCCAAACACAAGATATTCTCTGTGGTGAAAAACTATGACGACACCTTTGTCCAGTTAAAGTAAATATTGGTTCTAATTCCAGTTTAGTTAATGTGAATCTTATATTATACATATTAGAGGATAGTGTGTCTCCACCTGTGTGACAGCAGTTTGTGAAGACCCTTTCCTGTTTCAGCCCCCGTGCACAAAACCAGGAATCTATAAAGTAATGCTTGTCTGAGTTTGGTGTCGAAGAACTTGACGTGGCTGCACTGATCCCTCCGACCTCAAACCCACAAGCTGACAGTGAGCCCGACCTCATTAATGCTGTTGTGGTTGAACGGGAGTAAATCCAAACTCTTACGGAGAACCCTCCCAGAACAGCGGAGGATGATGTAGCAGCATAATAACACACATAGTTTTGAAATGAGTTGTTCAACACTCACATATGTTTATAGTGTTTGGGTGTCTACTTACTTTGGGCCATATAGTGCATTAGGTGAGCATCAGTGTGATGTAAACATATAAATCATGTAGATTTAGCTAAACTCAAAAAGTTTGACAAGTAAAAAGTCTCAGATAGTTTTCACTCTCTCTCTCTCTCTCTCTCTCTCTTGCAGACAGGAGCTGTCCAGGAGGAGTTTTATAAGGACTGTGATCTGACTGTAGGCGGGGAGATGAATGTGTTTGGCAGGAGAGTCATCATCGCCGACTGTGACAACTTCACCAGAGACTATTACCGCTCCAAATATGGCATAGGTAACTAACACCACGTGTGGTTGATTATTATATACATATATATATATATATATATATATATATTTATGTACTGTCACACCAAATCAGTTCAAAAGGTGGATTTTTGATGTTTCAGACTAAATTATTGATCCAAAAGTACAGAGTGTTTCATCTGTGCAAATAAAGAAAATATATTATACCGGCAGCAGTTTGACATTTTACTTAGTCACACATTTGTATGGATGTAATCTTCAGGTATCTGCTGCTTCTCCCTGCATTGCATTAATGTGAACACTTGGGGGCAGTAAGAGCACACACCAGCAAGAGCTGTTACCTTCCAACAAGCCCAGAGGTACAGCAGGATGCCTTTGTTCAGGAGATGAAGTATTTTTATCTAGAGATGTTCTTAGCAATGATTTTTTCTTTCTTTATAAAACCGGACTGTGCTCTCTCTGTTCTGTTTTAATGTTCTGGTTCTCTCAGTCCATCCTCAGTTGATGAGTGTTAGAACCAATACCATAGTTCAGCACCTCTGTCCCCCTGACATTAGATACCCAGGCCCTTCAGCACTGGTATTTCTCCAGTCAAAGGCACTGGGGACCACGAGAGGCACGCTGCTCCCCAGCAGGGGAAACTCAAGCTGGCCCTGCATGTGTCTGCCACCCTGGGCAGGTTCTGTGGCGTGCAGCATTAGTCACAGTGGTGAACCAGGCGGAGCCCCCGGTGACAGGCCACTGTAATGGAGGGTCGTGTCTGACTCTGAGCGGTCAGAGGTCAGCCTAGGGTTACAGTCGGACCCCGGCCGCTGCGCTCCTGCATGGATGGATTACCTGCTGCCCTCTGATCATTTCAGCTCTTTCTTTCTTCTTCTAACTGTTTTGTCTTTTCCTTCTTCCTCTCAGAGGACTTCACCCCAGTGCAGTACAAAGCTTCCCCAGCCCCTAAGCCCCGGAGGCTTGTGCCCCCCTACAATGGCTTTGGCTCAGAAGAGGATTCGCTAAGCTCCTGCCAGGGCCTGCTGCCCAAGCCCCCACAGAAAGACTTCAAAAAATTTATGGCGAAAGACAGGTCGGATGAGTTGTAGTCACAGTCACAATCAAATTACACACTCAAATATTTGTGTCTGCGTGTGTGTTAGTGGGAGACCCCAACTCTGTGTGTGTGTGTGTGTGTCGCTAGATGTGGCCTAGACAGCAATGTGCTCAGTTTCCGAGCCAAGATGGTGACCACCGATCCGGTTGACAGAGAGAGGGTGTTCATCATCTCCTTCTACCTCTGTGATGACTCCATCAGTGTGTTTGAACACCCCCAGAAGAACTCAGGTAAAAACGTCTGGACCGTAGCTGCACCAGAACCGCTCCCCGGACATGAAATACAGATGTACGACTCTCATGGTAAACATTAGATCTGTCGGATTCACTTCCCACATCCAAAACCTTTTGAAATCAGATGAAAGAGACGACATTTAGTCCGTAGACCTACTTTTTCAGGGATGGAGACATTCCCCTCAATGTAAATCAATTTGTGATGCGTTCAGGGACTTCAGCGTGGCTCCGAAATGAGATATCCAACCATTTGATAAAGATGTAAATCTTGCAAACATGATATAAAAATAAATGCTGCTTCTAAAATATCGACCGAGGATCAAGTTGCACGTTAACAAATTTTTTCCAGTTTCAACTGGATAAGTTAAAATGAACGATTGCCCACACGTTCATCTTTCCGTCTCTCACCAGGGGTGCTTAGTGGTAAGTTTCTGGAGCGCGGCCGTGTGAAGAAGCCAGGCCAGGAGCTGTTCAAGAGCGAGCTGTCCCAGTACTTCAAAGCTCAGGATCTGTACGTGGGAGCGACTCTCTGCATCAACAACAAGAACTTCCAACTTCTGGATGCTGATGAATACACCCTCCGTTACATGGAGAAACATGCTGAGGAGGTGGGGGAGGGAGCTGAAGGAGGGATGTCTGTTTTCAGAGGTGGAGCAGGTTGCTGAAGCTAACATTGTTACCCAGTGTGGCTTAGCTACAGATAACCAGCTCTAACCTCTAAACATCACCTGTTAGCTGTGTGTTGCTTTGGTTTCAGCTACATGTGACTAAAGAGAGTGTGTGTGTGTGTGTGTGTGTGTGTGTGTGTGTGTGTGTGTGTGTGTGTGTGTGTGTGTGTGTGTGTGTGTGTGTGTGTGTGTTTGTTTGTCTAAAGTTCCCCAAAGCCAACATAGGAAACATCTTCAGTAAACTACGCTCCATCCCGGAGGAGGGACAGAGTGAGATCAGGAAGTTTCTGACTCTCAGTGACCCCAGCAACACTGGCCTCATCCCCTACGAGGCGTTCAGGTACAGTAGTTAAATCTGTCCAGTACAGCCCCACCCGCCTGCAATAGTATACACTGAAGTGGATGTTGAGAGTCTGCACAGTGGAGCTAAATCTTAAATTTAAGTCCTTCTGATGCATGTGTAAGATCTGATCATAAAGTGTAATTCAAATATAAACTTTCCTATTATGTCTCACTTGAACTTAATTCATTAATTCTTTTAAAATTATCTATTCATTTCTATTTTGTAAAATATATTTTACAGTATTTTTATTTTTTTATTTACTTATTATGTCACTTTGTATGTTTCTATATGCTCATCATTTAAAAGCTATAAACAGAGACTCAAAACAAATATAATGGTAATTATCAACTATACGTGTGTAACCAGGAAGAACAGGTGAAATATGTGGCAGGAAGCTTAAATAGTGCTTTTTGAAATACAAATGATGTCAGGAAATCACTATCCAAATCAAAGGAAGTGACACAAGGATCAAAGAGAACTTCTCTACATGCCGGCTTTAAAGTTAGGACTGTGAGCTGTGGTTAACTTGTGTGTGTTGTACTCCGTGTGTCACCGCAGGAGTCTGCTGACGGGCCTGGACTGCAGACTGTCGGAGCACGAGGTGCTGGTGCTGGGCCGGCGTTTCTCACGGCGGGAGCAGCCCGAGGTGGACGTGGGCCTGATGCTGGCCGTGGCCCAGGACCTCCTCAAAAAGAAGCACTTTGAAGAGCTCCCCGACATGACCAGAGCCTTCACTTACCACGACCGACACAAGTGGGCGACACGCATACCACACACACACACACACACACACACACACACACACACACACACACACACACACACACACACACACACACAGATGTTAGCTTAAGACCAAATAGTGTTGCAACAGAGACACACAGGAACACACACAGGCAGATAGCGTCACAACAAGACATCAATCGTGCAGCCAGTGGCCCCATATCTTAGAGCAGCGATTAGTTCCAGCAGTGTGAGAGTGGAGCATTGGAACCAGATGAACCCTAAAGACCTGTATGGCATGTGGCTGTGCAGGCCAGAGGACACACACACACACACACACACACACACACACACACACACACACACACACACACACACACAAACACTTGGGCTGCCTCTGTCTCTGTGTGTCTTTCTCCCTGTCCGTTTCCTTCCTCCTCTCTGTGTCACATAAAATCACATGTTTAATGCCTGTACGCTACATGTACCTGCCCGTTCGTATGTAGTATGTGTTAGACCTTTAAAATGGGCCGGGTCAGCGGAAACGGTCGACTGACAGTGCCACAAGGTCAAGCTGACTCGTCTGTTTATTATAGCTGTGTTGACACCCTCAGTTAGCGTCAGATTGTTCATCAACGTCCCTGTAATGAAGATGGCATGACAAGAATGAGCCCCTGAACCGTCTGGCATTACTGTGGAAAACAACTGTGGTCTTAAAGGACAAACATCCCCTGTTTCACACACACACACACACACACACACACACACACACACACACACTCATTGTCACCCGAATTCGGTCTGAGACATTTTTCTATAAATAATATGTTAATGTTATAGTGGGAGCTTTTTAAAGGGGACCCTTTATGCTAATTCCCAGCTCTATATTTTGATTCTCTGCTGGAGCTGCTTTGCGTGAATCACAATTCAAAAAAAGTCCTTATTTATCTCAAACTGCCTTTGATGCAGCTCTTCAGTCGAGCCTCTGACTGAAACAGGCAGTATTAGCTCAGGCCTCCTAAAGAGGCGTCTACTTTCTTCTGATTGGCCGAACTTCCAGATGCCCCAATAATATGCTTCTGCAGCGCTGGAGGCTGCGCCTTAAGGACTTTCAGGACCTGCGGTTCTAATGCTGCATTTCCTGGTTAGCATTATTCTACACACGTTTCGAATAATTTGGGTTTCCTGTATGTTGGCACTGTCACAAAAAACTTAAAGGTCCTGAAGCTGCAGCCTCCCGCCAATGGGCAGCACACCTGAGAGCAAACTGTAAAACTAAGTAACAGAACTGACGGGAAATGACAACTTCTCAGATCCATCTGTATGTTCGAGTATGAATATGAGAGCGGACAACACCGACATCCACAGCAACAAAGATTACAGCAGGACACCTCTGATTGATAAATATCACAGCCATTACCTGCTTATTGTGTCACATAACAGCTGATTAGCCAAAATGTTTCTCTATTTGCCCGTGCTAATAGTTGTACATGTGGGGAATGAGCTGGAGTAGAAGTCATCTGCTGTCAGGAGAAGGAAACCTGCTCATTTGGTTTTATGTAGTTTATTAAATGCCTGTAATACTTCTGACTGTTTTGGGAGAACGGGCGCCGTGGTTGGAGCGGATGACCGTGACAGTCTGACGTCAGCTCGTCAGGGAAGAAAAAAAAATCTGTTGGAAACCTGGAGATCAGAGCAGAGTGATGCCTGAGCTACAGTGTCACTTTTACATATGTTTACATCACTATTTCAATCTGGCCATGTTTGATACAGACATCTAGGACAAAAGGTCACATTTAGAATATAAACAAAGGCACATGCTGCTGACTAATGATGAGAAGCTGCTCAGTGTTTCTCATGAAGTCATAAAAATATCCTTAAGTGTGGATCCTTTGGACTTTAGAGCAGATTCTAGCCTCTGAGGAGCATGTGTTCCTTCTTTGAGCTCCATTCAAATATCTCCCCACAAACAGACAAGTGGTCTGATGTAGGTCCAAACCGCTACTACCACAACTGGGGCCTCTTGGCTTTTAATCTCGCATCGGATACCAGTGTGTCTGCTTTGCTTTGTGTCTCCAGAACTGGACGTCTCTCCGCCAAAGAGACAAGGACCATCTGTAAGGCCTTCCGACTCCCCCTGCCTGAGAACCTGCTCGGAGGTCTGCTCGACAAGTAAGAGCCCCACTAATCACAGCGCAGTCCAGGCTAGAGCGGCTTGAGGTCCCACTGTAGTTTTCAAAATGGTTTTGAATGATTCGTTTTCACTTGATTGTAAAGTATAGCTCAGTTCTTTGCACAGAAATTTTTCTTGGCTCGGTTATAAAAATATCTGCACCAGCATTTGGACGAAATATGCTGTGGAAGTGGTGCGGATCAGATTCACATAAATCACATGGGACCTGTTGTCGGAATAATAAATAATAGTTTGTACCTGTTTCTAATTTGGATGCGTGTCTGCTGGAGGTTTGCAGATGGAGACGAGATTGACTACCACGCCCTCCTTGCTGGCATTAACTGGGTGGAGCACCCCGCTCCCCCAGTAATGGCCGAAGACATCTTAAAGGTAGGAGACATTTATATAACGCAAAACTTTTTTTTTTTTTTTTTTTTTTTTTTTAGAGGAGACTGACTCAGACAAGTACAGTCAGTGCATTCGCAGTGTGTGCACGGATTTTTAAATAGTTGTAATTGAAAATCAATCCACATTTCACCCCCCACCTGTGATGACTCAGAGGAGGAGTGAGCCAAAAGCAGAACGAAGTGAGTGGGAAGGAATGGTCAAATAGGCAAGACGACAATTTATTGTGCACGGGAAATGACGAGAGAGAGAGAGAGAGAGGAGCAACACACACGCACGCACACACACACACACACACACACACACCGATTTGTTCCACTCTCATTCTGTCCATGCGAGCCTTCCCTTTGTTGTCATGCCACGGCGTATATCTCTGCCGCTCACCTGGTTCTGTTTAGATTTGGCCGAAGCGAAGCATGTTAAATCAGCATTACATAGAAAAAGATACAAATGCAAGAGGGAAGAACAAAGGAGCTACTTCCTTCCTTTTTGACCACCTCTGTGTGTGTGTGTGTGTGTGTGTGTGTGTGTGTGTGTGTGTGTGTGTGTGTGTGTGTGTGTGTGAGTGAGAGGACAGTTTGGCCGGTCCTCACAACTTCAAAGTGCTGTTTGATGTGTTCGGGGGTTATGTTTTGGTTTTAAGGTTCAGGTTAGATCTGGGTTGGGATTAAGCATTTGTTTGTGATGGTTAAGGTTGGAGTAAGGAGCTAGTGAATGCATTATGTCATTGAACATCCTCCCGACTGTGGAAAGACCAACGTGTGTGTGTGTGTGTGTGTGTATATGCTTACTTAATTCTCCATTTTCCTCTGTCACGGTTTCCAGCTGCTCTTCGTCTGAGACCAAACTAGTCGCTCAGTCTCTGCTCAGCTCCTCTCCCCTCCCCTCCTTAAAAACCTCCAAGGTACCTCCAAGGTCCTCTGAGCCTTGTGCATCTTTGAAGGTGTCACAGCGAGAACACGTAGTGAGAACACAACAGGACCATCACGTCGACTGACCCAGACTGACTGACTTCTTCTTCCCAGAAGAAGTCTGGGTCGTGTTGCCAATTTTCTTATTACCTCTATAATTTTCTCTCTTTCTCTCTGTTCATTATATTTAACAATCCTGGGACCAGTTCCTGCCTCCTGCTTTCAAGAAATAGCTAAATTACATTTGGCCTCCAGTGTTAAAAAGAAGTTCTTTTGTTTTCCATGCAAGGTTTAATCAGTCTAATGGAGGTTAAAGACAGCCATGATTTTTAAAAGTTTAAACAAAGAAGTGGTATTTACATAGCACATTTGATACACACTGAAAAGTTAAAGTATACAAAATAGAGTAAAAAGCCTGCAACACACTAAAGCAAAGACTAAAAGAATGAATTATTTGCAGCAGAGAGTTTGTGTTGTGACTTGTGTGTTCCTTTCGTCTCCAGTTTGACGTGAGCGCGAGGTTCGACGCCGGCGAGGCTGCGGTGAAAAACATCAACTACTCTGCTCTCCTGGAGGACGTATTCTGCTTTCCCTCCAACCGCGGTGACCCGACAGCCGGCACCGCTACAGAGACACACGGTGGGAGGTGAAACGTTGCCCTACAGACCTACACCACAAACACAACCCCGCTCCTTAATTAAAGAACACGACACATCAGCTGAACCTGCGTGTGTGCGTTTTCATGTTGAGTCAAGGTGGAGATGTGTGAAACTGCATGTGTGTGTGTGTGTGTGTGTGTGAATAATTAGATGCCTTGTTTTCCTGTGTATGAATAATTTGGCAGTAATGGCGTGCTCTGGTGTCAGCTAACACGAGGCGGGAAGCGCTGTGAGAACACAGATGCTTTTTTGATGTGTGCTTGTGTGTGAGTGTGTTTACACGAGTTGGTGGGAATCCTTCAGAGACACGAGGCAGCAAAGCAGAACCACATTTCAGGTCTGGCCAGCAAGCGCTCGCACAGTATGATCACAGAGCATTACACTGTGTTCTCCTATGTTGATGATGAGGTGGGGGTGTGGGTGGGGGGGGTTGCCCTTGGAGTAATTGATGTGTGGTTTATGTTGACTGTACACTGGCTACATCCACCTACAAGACAGAAGCCATCAACATTGTCAGCCTGCAGCTGTGGAAACTATAGATGATCTGTAAAGGAGTCCAAAAGCCAGAGTGTGTATATCCAGGCTGCACAGGCCTCATGTGTTTATCATCAGGGCTCATTCTCACATGTTACACTGGAAAAGAGAAAAGAATGGAGCTATTTTATGTCCTTTTTTTCCCCCTTTTCTATCATTACTCTTCAGCACCTGTTTCAGATACAGCATCATCGGCTCATTGTGGATGATAGTTGTTATTGTCTGTTGTCTGTTTGTCAGCAGGATTACGTAAAAAGGACTGAACCAATTTGCACCGAACTCGGTGGAGGGCTGGGGCCGGGGCCAGGGAAGAACCAATTAAAGTTTAAGGCAGATCTTGATCTTTAACTGCCATGAGTTTGAATCTTTCTCTCTGAAGTCTGGTGTGTTTTGTTTGACATTAGCCCTGGCAGAGGTCTGCTCTCTCCGAGTGCCCCTCTAGTTATCGGGGTTTATTCTGTTATATTAACAGGACGAAAACATACAGAGGAGAATATTGTGAGAGTTTAGGAGGAGGTTTAATTTACAAGGAACTTCACCCTCATTATGTGTTTGGCTGTCCGTCTGTGGCAGTGTTAAGACTATAAAAAGGCACAGGTTGTTCAAGCTGAGGCGCCACTGTAATCAGAGCCTGCGTTGCAAATTCTAGTAAGGGGATAAGTCAAACATTAGGTAATCAACCACCCAGTCCCTTCCATGTAACCGGCACACACACACACAAACACACACACACACACACACACGCACATGCACACACACACACACACCTCCCGCCTCACCCCTTCACACCGAGCACAGAAACGGTGCATTACATCACCCCAGGCATTATCAGGTCCTCTCCGTCTACTTTCACACATACTAAAATATTAGCTTCCCCCAGTCGCTGACCACCAAAACACAAAAGGTGACGTTGGTGCGGTCGGCGGTGGCCGGAAGCTTCCTGAGCACATACTTGGCCTTTTTTTTTTTTGCCTCCTGAAGCACGACGTGAGAAGGAGAGGGACAGTGAGGGAGGAACCTCGTCACCCGGCCCTCTCCCTCCTCCCCTCCTCCCCGTCTCCTCCCGTCACTCTCTGTCTCTTTGCACCCACACATCCCCACATTTTCTGCCTTGTCATGCTCTGTGACTCAGCAACAGCAAACTGAACGAGCTGCGTCCTCATCGTTGCTCTCTGAAATCTGGCTGCACTGTACGACATAGAGAACATCCTTTAGATCAGACAGATTGATTTTTATATTTAGTGTTAACTAAAGGACAAGGCTGGGACAGAATATTACAAGTATTATTCATTCAACTCAATACTTTCTGTTGTCTCCTGTGCAACGGTGACTCACTGATTCGTGTTTTAATAGTTTGTGGACAACAATGGAGGACACAGAGGAGTAATGCATATCACCAGCCTGATCCTTTAAGGGTCCTATATAGTATAAAAGGTAGATTTCCATGTCTTCTCCGGTTATAAAGCAGGTCTAGCTTCTAAATTAAAGGTGTTATTTGTAAGTTTTGCTCTTGCTACATGGCTAGGGTTAGCAGTAACAGATGTTTACTTACCAGTCTTAGCGAGAGCTTCAGCCATCGTTGCATTTACAGTACAAGAGGTAATAATACGTCTTTCGAGTAGGTGACTATAGTGTCTTCAGGACAGACTGGACGCTACAGTGATTCGGTATCAGGAAGTGATGAGATGGACCAGCTGGGCTTGGGCTAGCTGGTTAGCATGCTGACTTCAATAGAAGAAAAGGAGTGATAGAAATCAAAGCAAAACAAGAGGGTTGTAAACAGCTGTGTTGCAATAGCAAAACTTACAAATAGCTCCGTTAATACTGTGAAAGTATCAAAGCCTCAGTCCACAGAGAAATGCACACAGCCTGTATTCAGAAACTGAGCCTTAAAACCAGCCGTCAGGACTTCTGGAACTTTGTGATGTCACAACAAAGCAGTCAGCAAGCCCCGCCCACCTGGACCCACCATCCAAACCTTTACAGGATTTGGTTTCTCTGAGTGTTTTTACCTGAAATCTGCTGTATTTTTATTGGATCAGTCAGAAAACAGTCAGCCAATCAGAAGAGAGGCTCAGAGCCTCCTCTCTTCTGATTGGCTCACCGACCTGTTGTTACTAGAGCTCCAGAGAGAAGCCTGAGAGAGGAGATGTAAAACTACACTGAGATGGTTTTTGGTTCTTAAAACCACAAATATATCTTCTTATGGATCAACACTTCAAATAAAACACAGAAGAAGAAAATATGGGACCTTTAATAACTTTGTGTACTGAATATAAGATACTGGGGTGTCTGGGTGGTTGAGTAGCTGACAGGGTAACTGTGACATTCCTGCTTCAATTCTAGCCAGGGATTTTTTTTTTTAAGGCCAAATGCCATAAAAATATTCAACATTTTTATGTCGTTTCATAAATTCATATGACAGTTTTATTGACTTTATTGGATTTAGTGGAGAGCATTGATATTTTGGGCTACAAGTTTGTATGAAAGTTGCTATATAAATAAATCTGATTTGATTAGAGCTGAGTTGAATTGAGATATTGTCCTACATGCTGGAGCAGCGGCCGTTGGCTCGTCGCATAAAAAAGAAAAAACAATCAAGAAATCGTTTTGTCAAACTTAAACCACCACGTTGACGAACATGTGCATCGAACCAAACACTGGGGTAAAACACACATGAATCACCCTCCCCGATGATGTCTCCTCTCAGCACGCAATGTTTTGTTGATGTGGTTTGGGTGTTGATGTGACTTTGTGTTGTCTCTCCGTCTCTGCTCAGCAGAAGGAGAAGGCTGAGTTTCGTTGTAAAGAATCTCTCATTTTGTCCTCGTTCCACTTTACTGCTGTTCTGCTCGGGGCCGCTGCACTGTAAAAACTGATATACGGGAAGGTCATAAATGTCTCCTGGGTCGAGAGGATCCGAGCGTGCGTGTGCGCATGTGAATGTGCGTGATGGGCTTAATGTGAGTCTGATGGAGTCATAGCCAATCTATGAAGTCTAAACAGATATCTGAGAACAAGAGGGGAAAGATTTCTGTTTACTGGCCGTGTGCCTTTCTTTTCTCATGACAACAAATCCTAAACCTGGAAGCACACAAAAACACACACACATTACAGAGCACCTGCGTTCAGATGTTGTTTTTCTCAGAACTGTTCCCCCAGAGAAGCAGTTTTTGGCCCCACAGTTCACTCTGAATAAGCTTCTAGTAACTCACACCACGGCAAGGTCTCATGTTTTAATTTCACTGCTACAACTGATTTTTATATAATTTAAACCCCTAATTTGGGAATGTTTTTGAATGTGTATTTTTCATGTATTTCTACATTCAAAACTGAAAATGTTTATTTAAAAATGATTTATATTAATGCTGCATTCACGTGCTCCTCGGATGTTCCTGTTTCCCGAGTTGGGAAGTTCATCTTCGGACTTCGGTGTGTTCATGTGCTTTGAGTCTGAAGATCATTTAAACAACACGTTGATCAGAGTTACTGCTAGCTAATAACTTCACTAGCTAATGTAAGTCAGTCTACATGGTTACAGCCTAATACCATATTACAAATTAAATGTTAGTAAAAAAAAAATTATATGCAATGTGTGAATTTGCACCATTAATCAAAAGTTTCTCACCGTCAACCAAACATTTATTTACATCTGCCATGTGTTGCATATATGACGTCAACAACTCGGCAAGTCGTGCACCAAACTTCACCGACTTTCCAAGTTGTTGTTCCGACTTTAGGCGACGTTCACGTGAATATTCTCGGTCGGAAACTAATTTTTCTGATTGTTCCGACACCATGTGAATGCAGCGTACGAGTCTACAGCCATGTGAGCAGCTCTGTGAAGCTTTACTTCGACACAGCGGTGCGTTGAGCTAAATGCTAACATCAGCACGTTAATGTACTCGCAAGGACGATGCTAACATGCTAATGTTTAGCATTAGTATAATAATAGAGTATAATGTTTATACAGATTAATGTTTATCATCATAGTTTTGCTTATTAGCACGCTAACGCTGGATAATTAGCGCTAAACACAAAGAACAGTTGAGACTGATCAGTTTTTCTGGGTGAATTTTGACCTGATGAGGGCGCTAGACGAAAAGTTAAGGCATCACTAAAGTCATTAGGATATATAGTGTTGGAACCGTCAATGTCTTCACTACATTTTAGGGCAATCCGTCAAAGATGTCGACCTCATGGTGCTGCCGGAGACTCATCTTCCAGGAACAATGAATTTACACGCTGGTCCATCCAGTAGCTGTTGAGATATTTCACAGATTGTCCCTTTGACTCCACAATCACAACTCAAACTTTCTAATGATGCCGTCCGTCTAGACACAAATATTTAATTACCCCCTTGGCAGAAGTTGGTGTCTTCCTACCTGCTGGCTCCTTCTCAGGAGAAAGTCACTGAACACTGGAGCCCGTCACTGTCCCAGGAGGGCTGTGGGAGGGATGGAGCAGCCTGGGAAGTGTTCCCTGTCTGGGCCCGGACTGGAGGCCCTCCGTAACGGCA